CGAGGGAATAAGCAGAATTATGATAATTTGCAATTTTAGCCGAGATATATCGATAAAAAAGGCGTCAGTTTAGACTGACATCAGGAAGATATGGTTTCATCAAATTTTTTTATTATTATATTTAAACATAGATAAAGCCAGTCTAGGATGCTTGCAGACCCTGATCACCCCAATCATCAACCTTAAACTCTTAATGTTCTGGTCATGTTGAATTTATTTCCTTTAAAAGAATTGGAGAAAAATTTGACATTCATTCTTTCCATTGAAAGCATTTGTTACCTGTTATTAAAACAACAGAGATATGGAGAGTTAAATTGAACTTTGTAAATAAACATCTTTCGAAATTAAACAGCTGACCAAAGAAATATGAATGAATGAAAATATTGAAGAAATATGTTAATGTATTTTGAAAAATATTATTTACCTTTTAGGATGATTTTTCTGTCAAAAGTCTTAAAAAAAAAAAAAAAAAAAAAATAGAAAGAAATTCTAAAACCTGATCATAGATAATTATTTTCTATATTTATGACATATTCAGCTTTTCTTTACAGTTTCTCTTCTAGACGTATTTTTCACACAAGAATGCAAAACCGCAAGAAAAAAAAAATCAATGTAATTATTGGTGGCAAATTTACAAATAATCAAATCTATGAAAGTTAAACTCATCAAAGTCAAGGTTGAACTATTTTAGTTGAAATGACTAATGACATTTCCATCGGTTGTTGTAAAACTGGCACAACATATACTTGATGACTATAGACTCGTTAAACAAGTATAAATATCATTGACAATGATCAATGTTTTAGATATTCATGAAAATGGCAATGGCCCTTGAAGCCTGCATATCCCTTGCAATGTTTATTGCAGATGTAGTAGACTAAGTTGTTTTGTACAGGGCTTGGCCTGTTTTGTAAACTCTGTTCAGATTGCTCATGGGTTTTCATGTGACTGATGAGACTGGAGTGCATTTTGCAGATTTTTTGACACACCCTGCATATTATTTCCAGCATAGTACTGACCCTAATTTGTGAAAGGTCAATCAATATGCCTCTTATTGTGGCTAACGAGGCATGCATTGGAGAGAGACATATCCTGCCATATCAATTATATATATGTGTGTGTGTGTGCGCGCGCGTGCGTGTGTGTGTGTGTGTGTGTGTGCGCGCGCGTGTGTGTGTGTGTGCGCGCGTGTGTGTGTGTGTGTGTGTGTGTGTGTGTGTGTGTGTGTGTGTGTGTGTGTGTGTGTGTGTGTGTGTGTGTGTGTGTGTGTGTGTGTGCGTGCGTGAACAACAAAGCTGACATTCCTGAACATAAGTAAATTCATAGAGGAATTTTGCAGACTTAAATATTTTGGTGTGTGAATGGATCGCTGTTCCGCCATCCATTCACACAACCTCGTTAGGTAGGTGGGCCACTGCCTTCCCCACTCTCGTCCCCAATGTGCCCTGTGTAGATCAAGTTCTCCAAACCCTCCTTCCTCATTATGTGTCCTAGAAACTTAACTGTCTCTTTTTGAGTATAAGTGCTCTTTTTGTTAGCATTTTGTTTTAGACTTCCTCATTGCTTACTCATTCCATCCATCCTCAGCACCCTTCTGTAGAACCACATTTCTGCTGCCTTCAGTGCCATAGAGGAGGATTGATATTACATAAGAGTTCAGTACTCTTATTTGAAATGTTCCTGTTTCTTTATATCTTGTTTAGCTTTTGGAAGGCATCTTTCATTATTTCAATTGGTATCAGATTTTCCATCTTTTATTAAAAGACTTCCCGGATATTTAAACTTCTGTGCATGTTTGATATTGTCATCTCCAATTCTTAGCTTGGACCTTGGGCTTCATCTCTTGCTGACAACCTTAGATTCTGTCTTCTTGCAGATGGTTAGTTCTTTCTTCTCCTACTCTGTCTAGAAGGTCTCATAGTTTTCTTTCTGTATCAACCATCAGCACATATTAAGATTATGCCCACCAATAATAAATCCTGGTTGGCTTTGGATAGCCTCGTTGTTGAAGTTGAACATATCTGAAGACGCTTCTTTGTCTTGCACCTCTTTTAATTTTTGTTTCCCTACTTAAGCCGTTTTCTATCTGGATACAGACAGCTTGTTCCTAGTATAAGTCCTGGATTATGTTAACATCATTTCCAAAGAGATCCTTGTGCCATGTTGTCGTTAAATGCTTTTGTGTAATCTAAAATGTCCTATCAATATTTGTTAATATTTCGTTCTTCAAATACTATGCTTTATTTTGCCTTTGACCTACACAAGCCCACCAAAAATTATTTGTGGGTCAAATGTACCAAGTTATGAAATCTTATCAAAAGTGTTGAAACCTACATCATGTATCTACTCAGTTCATTTTCTATCTATAAGTAGGGGTTGAAGGTTTGCTCTCAATATAAGTTCTGGATTATTCTAACATCCTTTACAAATAAATTTAGTTTTCCTAACATGGATTCTTGAGCTGTACCTTGTCAAATGCTTTTATGTAATCTATAAAACATAGGTACATCCTTCTGCATTTGTATTGTTCTCTCCAATATCATTCTAATCATAAATATCACATATCATATCTTCTCCCAGTGGCCATAAAAAAGCCATACTGTTCACGTTTTTGGTCTAATTCTGCTTCGCATGCTATTCAAAATTTGGCTCATTAGCTTGGTTATCCAAAGAAACTTGCAATCATTGGCACCTAGTTTTCAAAGCTAATGCTACTAAAATGGATCTACTGAGGTTCTCCAATATGTCACCATGGTTGTATATATTTTTTATTACTTCTGTGATCTTGTTAATGCCAAAATTGTCTCATCCTGAGAGCATTTCTATTACAATTACATCTGGTCCTGCTGTTTTGTTCCTGTTTATCTTGTCCCATGACAATCTTATTTCAGGCTTTAATATTTCCAGCCTTTCTATATTTTTGTTTCTTCTACATATATCTCTCATCATGAAATATTCTAAATAAATAAATGACAATTTCTGTTTGATCGTCTGTGTAACTGAAACCCCTTTAACTCAGGGCACACTTACTCTACATAGACATATTATACCTAATTTCAAATCAAGATGATCCTGGCATTGAAAATCTGCCTTTCAACTAGTGCAGTGGTTCCTAACTGATTTCAGGCCATGCCCCCCCCCCCTTGGTATTTCTAAAATTCTGGTGCCCCCTTGTAATATTTAATAACTAATTCTCAAATTGCCCGCTTATTATGTTAGTATAGTAAGCTGAAGAGTGAACATCCTATGCATGCCCCACAAATGAGGCATGCACTCCACGTTGGAGATCATTGATCTAGAGCTTGAACATCTGGCATTGGGATTTGTGCCCAGATGAGGAGGGAACAGTTGAAAATTCAAATTTTAAAATAACTGAAGAAAAAAAAAAAAAATTAGCAATTTTAAAAGTTTTTAATTTATACTGAGTTTAAAGACAACAACTTTGTGAATTTAAAAAAAATTTGTTTTAAAATCAGTTTAAAATATCTCCATGACTTTGGGAATTGAGGAAATCAATTTCATTTCTTCAAAATGCCAAGGAGTTAAATTGAGAAGTTTTGTGACGTGAAGTTTTCAGGTTCCACAGAGTTTGTGATTTGAAGATCTCAATTTTTGGTCTGAATTGAAATTTCAGCCCAAATCAGTCTTTTGGCTGAAATTGGACTTGTAGCTCAAATCAGAGTTAAAGTGAGGTTTTGAATTTCCATGGAGGGAGTTGAGGAATTCAAAATTATCTTTTCAGAATTATCATTGATATTTTCTAAGCTAGGCTGGAGGCCCAATTAACCTTTCACGGGAGCTAGCTTAAAATTATGCACAGAGTGTGGCTTTTAAGCTACTTAATAATAATAATGAGTGACACAAAAAGAAAAAGAATCTTGCTGCCACTTGATCTCCAAGAAGACCTGCCAGACATTGGAAAAATCTCAATGGTTAAATAGTAGGAAAAAAAAAAGTATATGATGATGATAGATAGATAGATAGATAGATACAATTACTTACTAAATCAACATAATAACATGACTACAGGGTGCAATGGGTAAATTGTTGTCATTTTATATTTTTAATTTCATACATTGTTTTTGATTTTGTTGACTGCACATACAGTAGGGTCAGTTGGGCATCATTTTTGAGAAGAAGAGCAACATGACACAATTCATGTTGCCAGAAATTTGGAAACAGTATGTTGTACTGCTTGGCATTCACACCAGAAACTCCAATACAAACATTTCAGAGTGTTTAGGGCAGTGGAGATGATTTGGAAAGAGCTGGGTGAGTTTCGAGTGATCAATAGTGATGGCGACATTATGCTTCCATTCACCTTCCCAAAAAGCCACCAACTTAACATGAAGGCCTACATCAAGTGCTTTGAGGAGGTAGAGCTGCCCTGGTTCAAGAGGGTGACTGCTAGAAGACACTGTGTTTGGAAACAGGACTCTGAGAAAGAGAATGAAAGTGACAGATAAAGAAATTAGAGAGAGAGAGAGAATGAAAGGGACAGGTAAAGAAATTCGAGAGATAGAGAGAATGAAAGGGACAGGTAAAGAAATTCGAGAGATAGAGAGAGAGAATGAAAGGGACAGGTAAAGAAATTAGAGATAGAGAGAGAGAATGAAAGGGACAGGTAAAGAAATTAGAGAGAGAGAGAGAGAGAGATGAAAGGGACAGGTAAAGAAATTAGAGATAGAGAGAGAGAATGAAAGGGACAGGTAAAGAAATTAGAGAGAGAGAGAATGAAAGGGACAGGTAAAGAAATTAGAGAGAGAGAGAGAGAATGAAAGGGACAGGTAAAGAAATTAGAGAGAGAGAGAGAGAATGAAAGGGACAGGTAAAGAAATTAGAAATAAAGAGAGGGAATGAAAGAGACAGATAAAAAAATTAGAAATAAAGAGAGGGAATGAAAGGGACAGATAAAAAAATTAGAAAGAGAGAGTGGGAAATAAAGGGACAGATAAAGAAATCAGAGAGGGAAAGAGTGGGAATTAAAGTGACTAACAAAACTAAAAGGGAGTAATAGAGATGGAATTAAAGGGAAATAGAAATGAGACTAAGAGAGAGAACATGAAAGCGATAGGTAAAGAAATGAGAGAAAAGAAAGATAAAGAAGAATGATAGAGAGAATGAAAGCAAAGAATAATAAAATAAGTGAGAGAGAGAGAGAGAGTGCGAAGAAATAAATGAAAGCGACAGAAGGAAATAAGAGAGATAGTAGGGCGGGGGTGAATGAAATCAACAGAAGCAGAGAAACGGAGACAGAAATTATAAATTAATAAATTAAAACAAAATAATATCGAACAGAAAGGAATTCGCCTGCTTCCTTTCATGTTTTTTTTTTTATGTTGTAATAAAGAAACTCAGCAGCAAAAACACCGGAAGTGACTTTTTCGGTGTTTCATATTTGTTGGCGGTTTCGTGAAGGTCGGGTGGAGTGGAAGTGGGGGTGGTTAAGACATCTGTTATCAGTCGAAATGTGAATCAGGTTACGCGAGCGCCTGCCCCTGGGCCAACCTTCTCTCCCGAAACGTCTCTCACCCTGCTGCTCACCAGGCAACATATAAATTTCCAACGAGTCAAAGATGGAGGAAATGGTGATATGAAAGAAAGAAGAAGAAAAAAAAAAAAAAAATTTGCTTTTAGTTTCGAATTTCCTTTACCGTAAATTTGTGTTCGTATCATGAAAATAAATGTTTACTTTTATTACTGACGGCATTTTTTCTTAATCACTCACAAAGATCAGCGCATTTTCTTTTAGCATAAATTCTGGAAATTTCTTGTAGCCGCAGTTTAATAAATAAATTACTTTTTAAGGTGATTCACTGTTTAAAAAATTAGTAAAGTAAAAAAAAAAAAAATAAATTAAAAAAATGTAGAATACTACCCGTAAAATATGATTCTTTACATATGGATCAGATGAATACTCAGGTGTTGGAATTTATGAATGTCCTTTCTTAATAGGCTCCCGGATGATATCTACAGGTTGCGATGGATAAATTGTCGCCATTCTATATTTTTAATTTCACACATGCACGTTGTTTGTTTTTAAAGACTGTACAGTAGGGTTAGTTGGGCACTGTCTGTGAGAAAAAAAGAGCACCATGACACAGTTCACTCCACCAGAAATTTGGAAATAACATGCAGTACTGCTGGGCATTTGTGCTAGAAGCTCCAAATATTTCAGTGTGTTTGGGTGTCAATCTAAGGACAATGCAGAGGTAAGCCTAATGGTGATTATAAAAGTGTTTGAAGGGATCACTAGTGATGGTGATGTTATGTCTCCATTCATGTTCTCACAGAGCTTCAGAGTCAACACGGAGCCCTACATCAAATGTCTTGAGGAAGTAGTGTTGCCCTTGGTCAAGAGGGTAGCTGCTGGAAGACTGACCCTATGTGTAGCAACAGGACTCTGCACCATGCCACACAAGCAGGAGAACCCAATTATGCCAGTCAGACAATTTCTGTGACAACATCACTCCTTATACCTGGCCACCTAACTCCCCAGACTGTAACCCTCTTGATTATTATGCATGGGTTGCAGTTGAGCAAGAGACCAACAAAACTTCTTGTGACACCAATCATGACAACATTCATCATCTTAAACAAGAAGACCATTCAGAAGAGATGCCTGAAATTTGGAAACGACATGTTGTACTGCCTGGCATTTGCGCCAGAAGCTCGAATACAAACACTTGAGAGTGTTTGGGTTTCAATCTGAGAACAATGCAGAGGACTGGGAAAAAGTCTGATAAGCCTCATGGTGATTACAAAGGTTTTTGAAATGATCACTAGTCCTCAAACTCAACACGGAGCCCTACATAAAATGCCTTGTGGACAGTGTTGCCCTTGCTCAAGAGGGTAGCTGCTGGGAGACCGACACTAGGTCTAGCAACAGGACTCTGCACCATGCCACACAAACAGGAGAACCCAGTCATGGCTGTCAGACAATTTCTGTGACCACATCACTCCTTACATCTGGCCACCTAACTCCCCAGACTGCAACCCCCTTGATTATTATGTGTGGGGCGCGGTTGAAAGAGAGACCAACAAAACTCCTTGTAAGACCAAAGATGAACTGAAGGCAAAGATTATGGCAGCATTCACCAACTTAAACAAGGAGACTGTCCAGAAGAGATGCAGGAAATTCCAAAGCCGCCTGGAGGCTGTGGCTGAAGTCAATGGCGATTTGATTGAATTAATTTACTCTTTCGTATTTTGTATAGTTTTGGTAAATTATATCTGTTAAAATGAGATGTCAGCATTATTTTCATTTTTGCATAATCTAAGCGACAATTTATCCATCGCACCATGTATATTTCTGTTAGGTCAAGTGAGGAGGTTATCAATGCCTGTCATGTGTGGGTATTCTTTCAGGTATTTTTATCCTCTTGTGTTGTTCTGCTGTCTATTATCTTGATTTCATTTCATCAGGGCCTTTTTTCTTCAATATATGATCATGTCTCTTCAAATAACATTTTCAGGTTTCTCCACCCTTTCTTTGTGAATATAGCAACCAATATGAGCAGGTTAGTTGAAATAGAAAAATTTATCATAATTAGAATTTATCATCTCAAAAATGAAGTCCACATGAAAGTAATTAAAAAAAAAATATACCCTGTCAAATGTTATTATGCAGGTTAATCTTTTTTATTATAAAATTAGAATCAACCAATGTTGTTAAGATTTGAGTAGGAGCCTGAAAAAACAGCATAGCATGATGTAAAAATGCCCCAAACTTGATAAAAACAAAGTTTTATTGTCAAAATGTTTATTATTATTATTAAGAGGAAAAATCCAAATATTTTTAGTTATTTTATTAATTTTTTTTAATCCTTTCTTGTACATTCAAAATTTTAGCATCTTTTTGCAGTAAAAAAACACATTTGGAAATTTTTGGATAAATCAAATAATTGTTGGATTTTAATGAAATTTTCAAGACTTATTCACAAATGAATGGAATTATTTTTTAAAGTTTTTATATTAAAAAATCTTGGGAATTTTTTTTTTTTACATCTCTTAAACAGCCCCCACCTCCTTTCACTTATTAAAATTTCACTCCCTTCTTATTTATATTAGGAGCAGAACTCCTTGGAAAATCTACATCAATTTTTTTGCAAAACAGATAAATCATTTACCAAAAATCTGCTCTGAATCATAAAATAGAAAATGCAATAAAACTAGAAAAGCTTTTAATTGCTTTTATTAATAAGATTAATTAAGGACACTATTGTCTTAAAAGAAAAAAGAAAATTTTCAATAATAAATTTTTACAAAAATTGTTTTCTTTTTTAAAATTTGAATTAGAATAATTTACTAAGTTTTAAATGTATTAAAATTCTGTATTAATCTCACACTTTTAGATGATATCATTATTAAGCAAAAACTATACCTTTTTTGACTTCAAAATGGACTTATTTTCAGGTAAAAAAATTAAACAACTCAAAAATGGATTAGACCACTTCAAAATAGATTTTTCACTGATGAAAATGAAAACAAGGAATAAAACATTTTTTTTTTGATTGAAGTTATAAAAATCAATCATGTCAAGGTGATCTGGTTTGAGTTTTCGCTGAGACGGCGACCGGTCCAGGGATGAAAACAGAAAGTCTCTTGGTTGAGAATTTAGATAAACAAATATATTTTTATTGACAAAAACAGATTTTGGAAAATAATTTTTATCTATTGCCCAGAATGTTAAAATGAGAATTAACTTTGCTTAATCGGGTCGGATGTACTGTACAATTAAGGCTGGAATTATGAAAACAAAATTCTATCATTGGCAGGGTCTGGTTTGTATTTTCACTGGACAGAGATAGTTCCAGGAAAATAGAAAAGATTTGGAGAATTAAAATTTATGGCTAGAATGAAACTCTGCCCTTTCTCCTATGCATTTTAAAAATTCAATTTGTCACAAAAACAGTTATGCATACCCTGGGAAGTAGGCTGAGGTTGAATGCTAGGAAGGGAGGGGCAAAATTTGGCCCTGCTTGTAATGGATAGTGGCCTGGATTGAGGAATCAGAGAGCTGAGTTCGAATTCCAGTTGAATCCATTACATTCACTTACGTGCTAATACCCTTGGGAAAGGTATGAATCCTCCTCTTCTCCCACCAGCTATGGGTAAATAGCAGGATAGACTAGGTTCTGTAGCCTTGGATGGCAACTGGACTACTGCAGAAAGAAATGGCAACCTACGCTGGGAAAAAATCTGCCTCGTCAGTCATGTATTGAAAGATACATGATTGCCTAAGTGTGTATCACGCAAGGCACATAAGTGACTGTGGGAAGTAGTGGTGCAAGATGTGAAATAAAGCAGGTTGGAGTTAAGGGAAAAGCAATCCCTGTGAAATAAGGTGGAAAATTCTCCAAATTTGGAAATTGATTAAGAAAGCAGAAATAGGGAACAAAGAAAACCTTTATTTGAATTAATAAAGAATTACCAAATTCTCAGAACCTTTTAGCCCCACCCATGCCAGTTTGGGGCCAAAGTGTATATAAGCAGATGATTTGGGGCTGAGATACAGTATTAAGTGCCTCTGAAATCCATGCCAGCTGCCAACAAGAATTCCTGATTCCCAGACTGAGCCCAACTCCTCCAGGAGTTTAGTGTCCTTAGAGAGATTAATGTGTGAAGGATGAATTTTTGTTGTATCAAGAGCTACATAAACCAATTCAAGTTTCACTCCACAAATCTCTTGTTTTATCTATTTTCATTGAGAAGATATTTTTTCTTTAATATAGTACCTGCCATGACTTGACCGGCACTGCGAGACTACGGCATTTGATCTTTTACTGCTCTGAGATCAAGAACACAATGTGGGAAGAGTTCGTTTGGATCCATGTAGCCAGCAACCAGCTTGGAACAGTGTCAGCATTGACCAGTGCAGAGTTAGCCCTGTGGTTAAAGTGTTGTCTTATGACCCTGAGAACTGGACCACTAAATGTGGTTATGTCACTGGGTGGAGGCAGCAGTGAAAGGTGTTACACACACACAATTCACAGATCAATTTCTTAATGTTGTTATTAAACTCATTAAGGAAGACACCATAGTTTTTATCATTTCTTTCATTTTCCTAAGTACTTTCAATCTCATTCAAGATCATATTCAGGGGTGAATTGCTAAGACAAAAAAAATTAATGTAATTGATAATTGAGAATTTTTTTGTAAATACACATTAAACATGCTCTGTTAATTTAAAATTTTTAAAAAAATTACAATTTAAGTATTTTAAAACATTGCTGCTATAATTGCATTTTTTTAAAAACTTACAATTTAGGTATTTTAAAACTTTGCTGTTATCATTGTTTTTATATTCATAATTGTGACACTATTTAGCTATGGTAATTGGCTAACTAATTA